AATGTGTTCAAACAAACAAACAAATTAAGTGACATGCATAGTCCCCAGAGAATAAATATCTCTGAGTCCCAAAATATTTCTTCTGTGCCACCAGCAGGTCAAATTTTTTGTGGTTTTGAGTGAAATAACTCAAAAATGATCATTTTAGATTTATTAAGCACTCACACTGCCATCATAATGAAGTTCAGTAACTTTGGCGATTTGAGAATCTTTCCTCTGGTGTCATCAAGGTCTAAAGGCATAAAGTGTTGTTGGAAATAACTCTAAAATAGAACATTTTCTGCTCACACATTATTCAAATGGACTGCTATAAAGAAGTACACCATAAGGATGCATTTATAACAAGCCTTCTTACGTAATTGTTAAAAAAATGTCTTGAATATTTTTTAATTGTTGATCATTCTTTTAAGAGAATTGCAGTTCTTATCAGTGGTTGTGCAATTGTTCAGGACAAAACTATTATAGAAAAGTGGTACTAGTTGTAACATTAGCTTCATGTGTATGTAACTCCCTAAAAGCCTTGCAGTTACATAATATGTTCACCCCACCGGCTTCATATGTGTGTGCTTTGTCTTCTGTGTCATGTTCTTTAATTCGTTCTTCCAGGAGCTGTTTTTGTAGCTTAGAACACAGAAAGGCCCATTATAACAAAGTGGCCCATTATAACAAAGTGACACACGGACCCTCTTTAATGGTTTCCAGAGGTGTATAGAGCACCTGCATGCATGAAGGTCACATAACATTATGGTTTTTGTTTGCAAGTCGACATTAGTAATAAAAGAAACACGAGCCTTTCATGATTTGTGCTAGTTTCTGCTGAGATTGCAATTAAAATCGTCCCTGAAGAAGATTCCTGAGTTTGCCATCTTACTTTGACTGAAAGCAGAATTTGTCTTTTTACACTTCAAAGTTTCTTTTTTTTCTCAGTGTCAGCAGCCAAACGCTGCCAAGTGCAGCTTGGTTCCCAGGTTCTGCCTGCTTGCATTTTGACCTTTTGTCTGTTTATTGGACATTGGATGCCTGCCTGTGAATTCCCATTTTAGTTTGTCTGGTTGGATTGCCCTTTCTGGTTTTGGACCCTAGCCTGCTTCAACCTTTACTTCTGCTATATTCGCTCTGCCTCAGGTGTCTGTATGTGGGTCTTATTCTCTGTTGACCTTTAACCCTGTTAGCACCAGTTGTGACTTATAATTGTAAGTCCACCTTTTGCCTTCACAACTATCTTAATTTTTTGTGGCATAGATTCAATACAGTGTTGGAAACATTCTTGGTCCGTATTGACATGATAGCATCGCACAGTTCCTACAGATTTATCAGGTAATAATAAGCAATTATCTGAACTGCTGTTGCCTTCCAGTCAACTCAAAGAAGTCTAACCATTCTCTTCTGACCTCTGGCATCAACAAGAAATTTACACTCAGAGAACCGCTGCTCACTGGATACCCTCCCCCCCGACCTCTGGCATAAACAAAGCATTTTTTGCCCAGAGGATTGCCCCCCCCCCCCCTTTTTTTTTGTTTTAGACAATTCTCTGTAAATCCTAGAGATGGCTGTAAATCCCAGTAGATCAACAGTCTTCTGCAACACTCAGACCAGCCTGGCATCAACAACCGTGCCACATTCAAACTCTCTTAAAACACCTTTCCTCTAAATTCTGATGCTCGGTTTAAACCTCAGCAGGTCATCTTGACCATATCTACATGCCTAAATGCACTGGGTTGCTGCCATGTGATTGGCTGATTAGATATTTGTGTTAACAAGCAGTTGAACAGGTGCGCCTACTAAACATCGGCAGCACTCTTGTGAGCTTCTCAGAGTGTGCCAATTAGAATTTAGCAAAATGAACAGCTGTGCTTTAATACAGCACCACAGAGCGGCTTGCTTCAGCGATCTCAGTAGTTAACGGCAAGAATAAGGGGTTATAAAAACAAAATGAGGAGAAACAAAATTTTGGCCACAATTAAATTAATAAACACCAGCTCTATCACTAAAAACAGGCAGCGTGATGGTGCATTAGTTGGCACTTTCACCTCAGGGCAAGAAATTTCAGGGTTTCAAGATTCTCTGGTCTACTGGGGCATTGATTTTGAGTTTGCATGTTCTCCCTGTTTTTCCAAGTCCTCTGGCTTCCTCCCACATGCGTGTTAGGTTAATTGTCGGTTCTAAATTGGCTGCAGGTGTGACATAAATAAAGTACTGTATGAACATGTGACCGCTGTTATAGCACCCTGAATTTTTAGAAAAAACAACAGTTTGGTCAATTTATCGGAAGAACCACTAAAAAATGGATACTTGTTTTTTTGAGCCCGCATGTATTTATTTTTTTTTAAACCTCAGGTGCTTATGACACTAAAAGAGTTGAGTGAGTAAACACAGCTATCAGAGCTCATTGACAGATGTGCAACATGTTGAAAAGGTTTGAGAGCTGAGAACAGTGCGTCAGCATGGCTTTTTTTGGTTTAGTGCCAATTTACCCTCATGGCAGTACTTTGTGAACCAGACTGCAGTGCAATGATCGCTCCAGTGCGAATCCAATGAGTGCACTAAATGACCTTGCCAACAGGCTCAGATGTTCTTCGGGTTAAATGTTACATTCCCACTGCCTCCACAAAGTAATGGGAGAAGGGTTCAAATGGTATTGCGATCATTGCATGAATATTTCAAAATCGCACCTTCACTGATCACGTCCTGAGGTCAATTTTTAGTTCTGCTAATTTAATTAAGAATATCATGAGTTTGAATATTGTGAGAGCTGATGATTGAGACTGATAATTTTCAGAACATGACACTGAGATCAGACTATTTTTCTGGCTCAATCTGATTTCTAATACGCTATTAGACAGTCAGAGGCATTTTGCAAAGAGTAATTTTATTACAAAAGCTCGTACATTGATCACATTAATTACAACTCCAGAGTGAACTGATGAAAATGTTTTGATTGATGGTTTCAATCAGGCCTGGCCAAACTTCACTGGTAAAAAGCTATGCTACATGAATAATGCATTGGAAGGTAGGTAATAAAATATTGATTGTGTTTAATTCAATTGTGCAACTACTTAAAAAGCACATCAATAGCAGCTACGAGGATACGGAGGTGTCTACAGTACACATTAAATACATACAGGGCTGCACAGATTATGAGGATTTAACATATGTAGACTACTATCAGTACAAAGACACAGTGAACATTGTTTAAATTTCCTTTGCAAGAAGAAGAAGAGCAGGATTTTGATGCGTGTGTGTAAAAAGAGGATTGTTGATGGCAACAGGAGGAAGAGGAGAGGAGATGCAGAGAAAGACTGTTGTGTGGGAGAGGTGTTGACTTGTTTGTTTGGATCATGTGTCTCTTCAACAAATCGTATCATCTTGGCAAACCGTGCAAACATGTCTGAATCATGAATGTCAGAACCATGACATTGACAGCCTCCATTGTTCTTTTTATTTTTTTCCCTCTACACTTGATTTTTTTCCCCCTGTACGTTTGTTTTTGGTAATTTTAAATAATCGCTCTGATGCTGTGATATTCCAGATAATCGTAGGACAAAAAAGCTGCGTGCCAGCCAGGAGGTGTGCGTGGATGTAGCTTATTTGCGTGCACACAAATCAACCACAATTATGATTGACATGCTGGAGGATGATGTTGCCTTGGAGACACAGAAATACAAAATGCCTTACATTCACTGGCAAACAGAGAAGCGATGCACGCTGCATCTATTCATTCTTCGTGCTCGGGTTTGAACCACATTCCAACATTTTTGCCCAGAATCTTTTATGCTCACTTTCACACTCCATCTGCCCTGTCATATCTATCTCAGTGTTATTGTCTGCCACCTTGCAGTCCTCGGTGACCTGACTCCATATTTCATTATCATCGGCTTAACTCCCCCCCACAGACCCCCAAACTAAGCCCTCTGTTTAACTCCTCCATCCCCACTTTGCAGTCCCCTGTTCACTCCTTCTCTTTATTTCACAGGTTTAACAGGATGCATCTAGGTCACACATCAATCTTGTGTAACTTGTACCATCTGTGTGCAAAGCTTAGACAAAGTGAAAGGCTGATGGCCAGACAAACAAACACAAACATACACACACGTTGCACTTGACGCAGCCGTCTCTGCCAGTGTTGTAACCAGGGGAATATGAGTAAACAGCAGCCGCTGTCAGATCTGGATTGACTGCACCTGTCTGCGTTTAATAAATAAATATCTGTGTATTCCTATTGTTACGTATGGTGCAGTTAAGAAGAGAGTCGCACAACATGTTGGTTCAAGACAATGAAAACAAAAGCTTCTATTCTACACATACAAAAGGCTCTGCGATCAGACTTTAATAACCTACAAACTTGGCTGTCAGATAACAAATTACTGCTCAATAAAAACCTGCTTTATGCTCTTTGGCCTGAGACAGAACATCAACTTAAATCTAATTTGCTGCATTTAACCCATAATGATGCTGGAGCTCTTCAGAAAACAGGGGAAAAAATGAAATATTTATATGTGTGGGTTGACTCTGAACTTACCTTCCAACCACACATCGATCATTTCGTGAAGGTAAGCTTTGGTGCTGGTGCTCTGCATTGTTCCACACGAGAGACTTTTTTTTTCTTTTTACAGCCTATTGAAGTGCTTTAACCCTGATCTTCTTCATCTCAATGGTACATACTATGATTTACAATTGGCTGCGCTTTCTTTTTCTAACATAATGTGACTTAGTAAATACATGATATAATTTTTATTTGTAGTGTTTTTAATGCATTATTTTGATTATAGTCGCACTTTTTTAAACTTCTACATCATGTATTAGAAGCTTTGATCTAAACCTGTTTTAAAATAGATTTTATTCTTTTACTTATGTTCTGTCATATATAATGTTGCACTGGTGAAATCTCATATTAAACAAAGTTTAAAAAATAGTGATATGTATAAGTAGCCTTTAGTCTGCTCTGATGCTCACACTTAGATCTGTGAGATACCAAAAACAGCAGATATACTTAACATGATCATCTCAAGCACACAGCTTTGTCTATGAGTGCAAAAGCCCCAGCCATCAGCCTTTCAGAGCTTCTGTCTGCAAGGGACAGCAAATCAGAAGAAAGTTGGATTAAAGGGAGGGTGCCTTTAAAGGGAGAAAGCTATAACAGCTTATTTCAGACAGTGGGTGAACTGAGGGGTTGCACAAGGCCCTATTGAACAATAATTCATGCAAAGCTATTCTAATAGTGTTAAGGAATTAAAACAACAGCATTTATGTTTCATTTTGTGTTTGACTAAAATAAGCTTAGTACCTTTAAATATGAGCTCTGTGTTATTTTTTCACTGACTTGAAAATATCTTGTTTTGTCAACTCAGAGTAGAATAAATTATTGAAAACATAAGCAAACATTAATTTATTGTTTTACTATTAAGTTAATATATTTGTATAGTCCATCTTTGTATGTCTGGTTTATGTTATTTTCTGTCCTTTTTTTTTGGTAGGTATACTCCAACATATCTGCCTTGCTGTCTGTATCAGCCTTGTTGACTGATGTTGTTCTACTGGTAAACAAGATGCCATTTACCAATGTCCTTCACTGACATTTATATATTTTGCACTGACTAAATGTTCACAGATAGTTGTTTTTATAATGACAATTTGTTTTCCTGATGCATAGGGGAAATAAAAATAACTTCAAAAACAAAATAAACTGAAACACATGAAGATATTGCAGAATTTCACAATTGTTAAATGTTATGTTTTCTTAGTCTTCTTTTTTCTGTTTGATATATGAATGTTTAAAGGGTTTTTCTAGGAAATTTATTGTACCTGGATCTAGACTGGACAAAATAAAATCTGGAAGGAAAAAAGGGCACATCAAACATTTGATGGTCTTCTGGTCATTAGAGTTTCTTTTTTTTGTCGGCAGGATGGTAGGCAGGATAGGACATGTTCATCGCAGCATTTCTGCCGATAGGTTGCGTGCATATCTGGCAGAGCGCAGTTTGAGTTCATGGTAGCACTGAACAAAACTGTGGTAGATGAATGTGATGGGCAGCGCCAGGAGCACAATGCCGCTCACTACACACATTCCCCCAAGCACCCGTCCTCCGATTGTTACCGGGTACACATCCCCGTAACCCACTGTTGTCATTGAAATAATAACCCACCAGGCAGCAGCAGGGATGCTGGCATAATCACTGTTCTGGGTCTCGAGATCCAAGCCGTGTTCCAGTAGCTGGGCCAGGGCACTGTATATAGCCATGGCAACGCAGACAAACACCATCAACATGACCATCTCTCGGTAGCAGCGCCTGAGAGTCAACCCTAGAGTCTGCAGTCCCAGGAAGTGTCTGGCCAGCTTCATGAGCCAGAACACTCTCATCATCCTCAGGACTCGCAGTATGACTCCAGCAACCCCGAGCCCAGCACCCGGCATCCCTGCCCGGGCCATCGCCATAGTGACATAGTAAGGGGTAATGGCAATCACGTCGATGATGTTGAGTGGCCTTCGGAGGAAGTCCCACTTGTCTTTAGCCACCAGAAAGCGCACTATGCACTCTGCCGTGAACCAGCCAATACACACTGCCTCCACTATCCTACAGAGAAGATAGAAGAAAAATTAGTTGCACACACTGTAAACAGGAAATGACAGAGGAGGTACAGTGAGATATGGATGGCATGAAATATGAAATACTGCCTGGCAGTCAGTAAATGTGAGGAAGGAGGAAGCAAAGCAAGGGGAGTTAAATGATGGGAAATAAGGAACAAAGCTGTCACAGTTCAGGCCTGGCACAAGTAAACAAAGACAGCAGGACAGATACACGGGCTAGTAAATTTCCGGCAAACTCCACAGAGGGAGGGTTTAAACCCTTCAAAGAAAGACTGTGTCAAAGACAGTCACATAATTACCCCACTGACAAGCAGAGCAAGGCCAGTCAAAATGAATTAGAGAATGATGATTCTTGCATTAGATATAAATGCAGTGAAGCCCAGAAATGACAAAAATACCTGCAAAGCAACTATCAGAATAGTTGCACCAACCCAAATTATGTAGCAACTGAGAGAACTGCATCATCTAATGACATGAAACTAAATTGGAATCCTTTTGCCCTCATAGTATACAAGCCACTTGTATTGGCTACTTAACCACTGTAGCTGATCCAAAACTCAAAACTATGTCCAGCCTGAGGGAGCATAACCTAACCTTATATAGAGAATGGGCAGCTCAGGCTTCCAGGAAAGTACAGGCCAAAATCACGCAGACATGGAGATACACATTTTCGCGCCTACATGCTTAAGTTAGAGAAACAAAACTCTGACTTATGATGATTCCTGTAAGTGGCCTAATTTCTTTGTTTGCTTGCACTATTATATAATCCCCTCAGTACACATTCTACTTTTATCTCATTGCCCACTCAAATATTATGAATCTATGATTACCTGATGTTTGCCCTTCATGTGCGCAATGCAGTGTAAACTAAGCAGGACAGTAAACATATTCAGACTAACTGTGAAGAGGGTGGGAGAAATAAGAGGGGAAAGCTATGGATTGGCTATTGATTTGCTTCCTCGGGGGCCTGTCCGGCTGTCATGTGAGGAGCCTAAGGTGTAATGTGCTGCCTGAAACTTGTCAGCGGGCATATTGAGTTCAGGGGCATCAATTCACTAAAGCACAAGAACAAATCCCCTGCAGGCAACGTAATACATGGATGTTTTAAACATCTTGCTTTGCTGTCATTCTTATTTTTATGTTATTATACCAAACATCCTAGAAAACACTCAAAAAGCTGAGGTAGAAAACATCTCAATGCATCCACCTCGTGGTTAATATTAGTGCGCAATGACTTTGGCCGTTGCCTTGAACTCATGCATGATCAAATGTTAAGAGGTATATTTATTTATTTATGCTACTTGTAATGACAAAATCAAATATTTGACACGATTTCATCTGTTCAGCTCACTTTTACACAAGACTGTCTCAGTTGTAGGATATCCGCACACATTGCGCCGAAACATTTGGCAGCATTTTCATGAGGGGGCTTCTATTCCTTCAAGTTAACTGACCCTTGACAATCGCCTACCTGTGTTCCTCCACAGTAGTTCTCTTGGCTGTATCCCAATCCGGCAGGGTGCTAGCGCACAGCATGATCATAGAAACGATAACAAAGATCACGGACACTGAAGCCAAAAGCTGCGCTACAAGGGAAGAGTTGGGCTCCTCAAAAGCCTTGCGCATTTTCTCGAGCCACCTAGCGCGACATGTGAGCTCAGCCTCTTGCACTGACTCCCCTGTGCTCTGGGGCTCATCCTCGATGTCCCCCTCAGAGAGTGTGTCCAGTCCGATGTCGGACATCCTATCGTCCAGGCGTTTCTGGCAGCAGGAGTCCAAGTGCGCGCTCTCCAGTCCCCAGTAGAGCATCTCTGTGTAGAAGGACAGCTCACACACTCCGGGAACAAATCGGAGTTTGCCGGAGCGCACGTACAACATAATAAACACGAAAGCCTGAGCGTGGCGGTCGAAGAAAAACTCATTCCGGTCCCGATCGTAGTCATCGCAGAGTTCGAGGACCTCTTTCTCGGTTGCGCAGGCAATCAGGCGGCTGACGCGTCGAAGAGGGAAATCCCTGATCACCTCACGGGTGAAGGCGTACCGGGTTCCCCCGACGTTAAGCACGCAGATGCTCTTCCCGAACTTCATTTTGACAACTTAAATCATGAAAGCCTAAAAGAACTCTTCACAGTCCATTCTTCCTTCCATCGCAGGAGTTTGGGCACTTGGGGAACTCGTCTCCCCTGCCCCGGGGCGTGGTTCGCTTTGAGTGAAGGTGGCCCTGCGCTGAGGTCCGTGGCTGCTAACTGTTAACTCTTCCCTCTGTCATTGACTCTATTCTCCGTCTCCCTCTGTAGCCTGAAGAAGAGACTCATCCCCCCAGTCAGCTCCAGCCAATCCCATCAGTGATGTCACAAGCGCGCGCGCGGACACACGCAGAGAAAAATCCATAAGCAACAGGAGTATAGAGCGTAATATGTGATTTAAGTCCACAGTGGAGACTGCTGCTTCCTATAAAATACTGTTTAGATTCTCCTGGAAGCAGATGAGAAATTATCGTCAAACATGATGAAAACCGGGAGGAAAGTTCTTGTTTAAGGAAGCTTAGTTATGTCTCACTGTAATATTCCCTGTTACACTGACAAAAAAATAGATGTGAAGCTTGTATTTGATATGCTTGCACCATTATTAAAATTTTGACCATTTTATATCATTTGATTAAGATAGATAGAGATACTTATATATGACTTGTGAAACAAAAGATACATTATGTTGAGGTAAGTATAATAGAAAAAATAGCAAGAGAAATGTATGCACACATGTATAATTTATTATTGTCATTATTGCTAGTATTATTATTATACAAATAAAGGTTGTTTTTTTTTACTATTATTTTGATTTATGCAGATTTGTGCAGCTTTATTTATTTATGTATTTGTTTTGAACAAACATAAAGAAAATAGTAATTGTTTTAACTTAGCAATGCAAATATTCTATACCAGCTCATTTGATAGCAAAATAAAATAATAATAATGGCCTGTATTTATATAGCGCTTTACTAGTCCCTAAGGACCCCAAAGCGCTTTACATATCCAGTCATCCACACATTCACACACACAGGTGATGGCAAGCTACATTGTAGCCACAGCCACCCTGGGGCGCACTGACAGAGGCGAGGCTGCCGGACACTGGCGCCACCGGGCCCTCTGACCACCACCAGTAGGCAACGGGTGAAGTGTCTTGCCCAAGGACACAACGACCGAGACTGTCCAAGCCGGGGCTCAAACCGGCAACCTTCCGAGGCGAACTCCAGTCTCTTGAGCCACGATCGCCCCGTTATTATCTAGGGCTGGTTCACGCCCCTAGATAATAATATCTACATCAATGTTTTAGCCGTGCGACAAACTGGCGACCTGTCAAGGGTGTACCCTGCCTCTGCCTGCCTGATAAGGGAATGGATGGATGGATGGATGGATGGATGGATGTCTACATCAAGTATACAAAACATAGTCATATATTGAATCTTCTTCTTCTTTGCCACAGCATCATCTGCCTTCATCTCACTATGTCACTGTTACATCAACCATCTGCATATCTTTCTTCAATACAGCCATAAATCTTCTCCGAAGTCTTCTACTTTTACTACTGCCTGGAAGGTAAATCTTTAACATCCTTTTTTCTAATATATCACAGTATATCCCTCCAAGCTATCTAAGCCTCGCTTCTCTAAAGTTATTAGAATTATAAATTACGTACTCATTTCTAATTCTGTCCACTCTGGTCAAGGTGGATCATGTAACGATGCGTAAAAGATAATAATAATAATAATAATAACAACAACAACAACAACACAGAGACTTCTTCATGTAAACAGTTCCTTTTAAGTTTTAGAGCCCTTTCTGATTTGTTAGGAATTTTAGAGAGACTCAGTTTCAATGATTAGATTCGAGTTTAAACTTCTGGCTTTACAGATATAAAAATGTCCTAAAAAATAATGTACATACTGCTTTCTTATGTTTTCTGAGGTGGGCTGGTGTCTGCGCGTGTGGGCCGCGTGTGGTTGTGCTGCGCGTGCGCGGGCCCCCTCCAGCGTCAGCAGTGGTTTTTCGGGTTGATCCGACTTCTTTTGGCTGCCGTGAGTTAACTGTATCATAAAGGGTGCTGTGACTCGAAGGAGGAGGGGGGGTTGAATTGCCATAATTCTCCCGATAGGTTACACATCCGGAGTCCCGACCATCTTAATTTTTCGCTCCTTTTCCCTTCAAAGAGAGTAACTTTTATTGTTTTTATTAATTTATTCCATTTCTCTTAGTTTATGGTTTGCACACTGGGAGGGCAGAAATGGCGGCCAACATGTACCGGGTCGGAGGTATGTATGTCAATGTGGATCTTTTTATCAAAGAGAAACCGTTACAGTTTTGCACCTTCTGGGCGTTATTTGGTGTTATTTTGAGCTGTTTGCATTTAATGGTGGAGATGAGGATGTGCTACAGCAACGTGGACGCGTTAAGTTGAAGCAGGAAGGTGAGAGTTGGTGTATATTTGAGATTCAAAATGGGTCAGGCCTCGCGTCTGTCGTGGCCACAGCAGCTAGCCGCCAGCTTGCTAAATGGTTAGCTGGCAATGTAAACATTTTTCACTTGTTTGCTGCTCCCCGGGTTTCTGAATTCTTAGACCAGGGGATACAGGGGGCTTCTACACGGATAGACCTCACAACTAGACGTGTGTTTCAAAGGTTGTTAACATGCTACCACGGACAGTCTGAAGCTGCCTTTGTATTTGCCACTCCTGGCATGCAGCCATTAGTACGAGACCTTATTTAGCTAACGTTAGCACCAGCGATGGCTTCACTGATTACCATTAATGCCGTCTCAGCGCTCGTTTGCTGCATTTAATGATCGTATTTAACCATCTCGGTAACATCAGGTGCCAAACTGTTTTGCCAAAGTGACCACCTACAGTAACCACAAGTGCAATTAATTATCAAACAGGGATGCAGGCTGGCTGATTTGCTAGCTAGCTCCTTAGCAGTCTACTGGAATTCCACATCAAATTGTCTCCGCGCATGGCGTCGCTGCGTCTGCTTTTACACATTTATTCAGGAATACTTGAGCTTTAAATCCATACACAGACGGCCACGTAGCCTAATTGCATTAATGCTTGACATGCCACGCAAACTATAGGCGTCTAATGACATATCTTGCAGCACTTTATAACCGGTATTTTCGAGGTGCATCAGCTTATTGTCCCCTCACGTCACCTTTAGGCTAACTTCTGCTGCTTTTAGGTGCTCATTGTAAACTCCGTGAACTTGTCGGTAGGACACACAAACTTCCAGGTACATTCAGGTACAGTTTTTCTCCCTGTATGGAACAAGTCTTAACAAACGTAGTCAATATTTTGCTGCTACATTGCAAACAAAAAAAAAGATGGGATCTGTAGTTTATTCATTTATTTAAGGTTTGTTTTGGTTTTGACTTTTTACAGCATTGCAACACTGATGTGCAGTACATTCCCATCCCAGAGGCTGAGGGTTATCATACACATTAGCATGATGATACATAGACTTTAATGACATGCACAACTCTGACAAATATGCCGCTTCACCGTTTAAAAGTCTGGAACATGTGGAATGAAATATATCAGACTTTGTGTGAATGCTGCCTTTGCCACAACCTAAAGTTGTGTAAAGTTTAATAAAAAAAAGAGATATTGTTACATTTATTTTATTTGTCCCATTTGTTGGGAACTGGCAGTGTCTAGAAGACATAAGCTGGAAGAAAGATGGGGATTCAAACCAGTGCTTCTCCATTAGGCTTATGGCATATGGGTCATCTACTCAAACCCAGAGAGCTATACTGGCATCTGGTGATGTTATTTATATGCATTGGCAATCTTTTTTTTTTTTTTTTTTTTAATGGCATATTGAAGTTTTTATTGTCTTTAATTTATTTTTTCATACAAACTGAAACAGTGTGGTAACATATGGCAACAGGTTGAAAGACTGAAAATTGTGCACTTTTATTCACCCATAACTTGGTGGTTGTTGACTAGAGATTTTTCCTTTTAACTTTTCTGGTGCAACACTTTCTGAAAGTCACAACTTTGCACATATTTATTGATTAAAGGACATGCATATTCTTTGATTTGACCTACTGTAGCGCCAATGTATTAGAAGAAGAAGAAAGTGTACTTTATTGGTCCCCGTGGGAAAAATCCCTCTCTGCATTTAACCCATTCACTCAGTGAGGCAGTGGGCAGCCACTGGGCGCCCGGGGAGCAGTGTGTAGGGACGGTACCTCAGGGTAGCTGTTCAGGGGAATCGAACCCCCGACCTTCCGATCGTGGGGCCACCACTCTACCTACTGAGCTATCCCTGCCCCCCCCCTTTTAAAAAAAAGTTTTTAAATATATGATATGCGTGTTTCCTGTTGCAGACTATGTATTCTTTGAGAACTCCTCCAGTAACCCTTACCTGATCCGTCGGATAGAAGAACTCAATAAGGTACTGATGTGTGCGTTTTTCATTTTCATGAGTGTGAGAATATGTTAGAGAATTCCTTGAATTCCTCTGTGCTCCTGTCCCCACCCTATCACTTTCCCATTGTTTGTGTGGATTTTGTGACCTTGTTTGTAATATGGCTTGAAAAGACAGGTGTTCCCTGATCTACCAACTGTCATTAGCATGACTTGACACACCTGTGTGTGTGTAGGCGGGGTGACTATTATCAACATTTCACAAGCTCATGTAGCTTTGGGCTAAAGATGCAGATTTATTTTAATTATAAGCTGATACCAACCTTGAACAGCAGTGTTGTTGCTCTCTCTTTTTTCTCTCGGCATTTTACCGTAATTCCTGTTTTATTTTGTTCGAAATCCTTCACAAGCATTGTTAATAGGTGTGTAAAAGCTTTTCCTGTGTCATGCTTGCACTGAGATGTTCAGATAAATGCAGGTCATTATCGGATTGTGTGGGTGGAATAATGCTAGATCACATTATCATCCTGAAAGAGTGTACTGAGGCTCAATGTTATAATCTAAAGACAGGAGACATCGTAATTATCATAAATGATGAAGTAACAGGAAGTCCCTGCAGCATGATACGATTTAATAAAGCTCTGCTGTTGCAAATACAAGCTGTATGAAGCTTATCGTGTTGGTAAAGGTGAAATGGAGTGCTTGATCAAGCACGATGGACATTTTTGTGGCTTTAGCTAGTGCATCGATATGCACATCATTGTTCCTGTTATTTACTCCAGATCCCTTTTTATATAGATACATTTGCTTTTGTACACAAACTTGGAAGCAGGTAGGTGGGGAGTATAAGTTGTTTCTTTTTTTTTCTTCTTCTTTCAAACCTTTTTCAAACCTTTTACCCCCACATCTAGTCATCAGTCACGACATTTAATACTGGCTGAGTTTGAGCACAGCTTGATAGGTACACAAAGGAGCCAGGTCTCTTGGGAAATTACAGGGTTGCACAGGTAGGTGTTGCCACTTATTTGAGTCAACCTGGATGTCTCTCCTCCTCTCTTTTAGACTGCCAGTGGGAACGTGGAGGCCAAGGTAGTTTGTTTCTACAGAAGGAGAGACATCTCCCACAGCCTCATCCAGCTTGCAGATAAACATGCAAGTGAGTAGCAGTTGTGACGCATCATCTGTGTAAAACAGTACAGTTTCTTTAGATTGTGTTTGCATTAATACACATTAAACTGTTGTATTTACATTAGAGGGTTCTGTGCTCTAATTCACCATGTGGTTCTATGTGGGTACTCCGGCTTCCTTCCACAGCCCAAAGACATGCAGTTAGTGGGGTTAGGTTAATTGGTGAGACTAAACTGCTTCTATGTCGGAATGTAAGTGTAAATGTCTTGATGCATGCTCAATCATCCAGGTAAGGAAAACCCAAAAAGTTGGAGACTGAAGAAGTCACTTGGATGAGTGACGAAATGTTTCTCCCACTGAAAACGCTATGTTCAGATGAACAGAATAAACTTTTTGGGTAAGTGTGAATGGTTTCTGTTTTTCTGTGTTGGCCCGGTGACTGGCGACCTCACCTTTTGCTTTATGGCAGTGGGGATGTGCTCCAGCTCAACTGTGACCCTGATTTAGATAAGCAGAAGAAACTGGGTGGATGGGTTCTTTCTGTTTTGCTAAACTTTAGAGTGACTTGTCTTTGTTGGTTGGACAAATCAAGCAGTGTCACCTTGGACTCTATGAAATATTGTATTCTAAATTGTATTTTTTCCTTTAAGGAGAGTTGTGATATTTTAGACTAGTCAATTATGTGACAGAAGTGTAACCAGTGGTGAAGATTAAGCCATCCATCCATTTTCTTTCACTTATGCAGTTTAGAATCACAAGTGGCTGGAGCTGATTCCAGCTGTCATAGGCTGAGAGGCAGGGTACACCCTGGACTGAACTGGTCATCAGTCTGTCACAGGGCTGACACAGAGAGACAGGAAACCATTCACACTTGGGGCCAGTTTAGTATTACCAATCAACGCAGCCCACGCATGGTTTAGATGGTGGGAGGAGGCTGGAGTACTGGGAAAGTAGGGCTGGGCGATATGGCCTAAAATTCATATTGTGATATAATTTGAAGCATGTGCGGTAACGATATATATCGCGATGTATTCTTTTCTTCTGTATAACGTATTTTCCACACTATAGGGCACACTTAAAATCCTTAAATTTCCTCAAAAATCGAGAGTGTGCCTTATGTATGAATTCTGGCTGTGCTTACTGACCTCGAACCGATTTTGGCGAGCAGAAATCTGTTAAAAAATGTTTTAGTACAACTTTGGTAAGCCGCACTGCTTGATGGATTGTCAGAGCATTACGGCTGCCGTAGTGAGGAGCTTCGCGGAGTAATCTGGGTCCAAAACTCCGTCCTCTTCAGGTCCCAAAGTCAAACGAACACTGAGAGTTAAAACGGTCTAAATTCTTTCATCTTTAATAAAATCATCAGCATTGCTGCTTTACCAGGTGTAACAATTAAGTTTAACGTCCAGGCATCCATGAAAACAGAAGTTATTAAATTTAACGGAGTTAGAAGTTAACAGGAAGTTTGCTCGCTAGTTTCCACCTAAACATGGCATACCATGTTCTGAGAGATTTTTGAAACTATTTAAAACGTACAGCTCTGTTATCACTTCCAACATAAATGAAGACAGAAAAATAAACAGCAGTGGCGTTTGCAGGGTTACTGAAGTTGGACTACCTGGTATGTAATATTGTGCTACGTGATTGCTAGCAACACAGCTATGTTAGCATAACATTAGCACAGTGAAGCTGGAGGATGAACGCCAACTTTTTTTCCACTCGATAAAAGTTAACGTGAGGGATTCTGGTGGTCAGGGACAAATGCAATCGCATAGCAGGATGCTATACACGGGCCAAACTTCAGTCAGGAGAACAACTGAGATTATTTATCCACAATACGAGGTTAGTTATTAATATACTGCAACAATATGGGAATACAACAGCTGCGAGAGAATTCAACATTAATGAATCAATATTACGGAAGTGGAGGAAGCACCGTTTTTGGCTTTCCCCATATTTCAAAAGTGCTTCATCTCTTTGCTATGACTCTCTGCATAATTTGCAGATGACCAGACGACCAAAACAGGCGCAGCTTGATGACATCAACATGTGCTATCGCGATAGAGCGGTATAGTCAAAATCTCTATCGTTGGCCAAATTTATATTGTTTCTATCGTATATCATTTATATCGCCCACCCCTATGGGAAAGAACAAGCAAGCACCACAGAAAAGGGCCCAAGTCTTGATCTGTACCCAGAACCTTCTTGTTTTGAGGATGTAATGTGATGGCTAAATTTCAACAGACAGATGATATCAGGATGACTTAATTATCGAAATTTTTTAAAAGACTTTAAACTTGAGACATGACACTTTGGATTTTTTTTTTTTTCAGAAAAAAATGTAATTAAGCTTTCTGTCAATCAGAATGACATTTCCAATATTGATTTCTCTTGGCAACTTTGTAAATTGCGCATTTAACTAGAAATAAGAGGTTTTTAATGCCAGAGATGGAGACGTTGAAACTTAAATTTGTACTCCAACTTGGGGGGATTCATGTTTGTATTTCACAATAATTTCTCAATTGCTTGTTACTGCATTTTACAGAATTTGAGTGTAGATGTGTGAAGTGAAAAGGAAAAGAAAGTGTCATCACAGCAACACCTATTCAGTGTGGGAAGCAGACTACCTGATTCCAGAAGGCTAATGGCCAGAATAAAACACATTAATAGTTAGTTTCTCGAAGTAAAAAACATGCTTTCCACCAAAGCAGATTTCCAGTTTAGATGTGGGTGATTGCAATGAAGAGCAGCAGGAGACCCAGTGAACAACATGTTTACTGCATTCACGTCATTCAGCACTGACTGGAAAAATACTGTTCCCTGTGTATGTGTCATAGAACTGCTGGTAAAAACCAGTTATCCTGATTGAGGTAGACTTTATAAACATAAAGCAAGAACAAAAAGATAAAACTTGCAGTATGCAGAGACAGAGCATTGATCAAAGTGCTGTGCCAGTTCTGCAAGGTGTTTGGTGTCCTTCGTCTGCCAGCTGGTCAGAAGAAAATTGAGAAACAACAATAAAATTTATGGCAGCCTAGTGCAGCGTAAAAAAACCCAGTTAATTTATGTTTGACATTATTTCAGAGGGAAAACAAAAGAACAGCAACTAAATTTGATTTTTACAGGACGAAAGTTTATGTAAGAGTCATAGCTGAAAACTTTTTAGTTGACGGTAGAAAGATACAGATGTGTGGCTCTGTCTTTTTGTGTGAAGCCGGGTATGCTGTGCAATTTTGGGCAGCCCCAGATAAAAGATAACCAACAAAGGAAGGAACTGAGTCTCCAGAGCGGTGATCACACAGTGAGGGATGGTTAGAAGTGTCTCGAATGCTCTTCCAACCTAAGATTCTTATAAACTTAAGATGTCCATTTCTCAGTAACTGCCGGTATAACTGTCTACTAACCAGCCAGGAGTCAGGAGCGCAGGTAGAAATGATCTTCTGATCAACATGACAGCAGAACATGTGGGAGGACAAAAACAAACTCAAACAAAATAGAAGAAAAACTTTGTGTTTAGTCTAGTTGAGTAATGGTTTGTATGAAGTGTCCTCCAGCTGTTAAGACTGAGCCAAGGGGGATGTTGCATTGAAAGAAGCGAAAGAGAAATAACAGCTGTACATTTTTGCCTCAATTCAGCAGGCACTGTACAGTCTGCGTGTATCAAACTTTATATTTTATTAAGCCTGTGGACCACTGTAAACACACAGTATTTAGATGCTTTAAAATCTCAGCAGACTGCATTCCTACTCTTCTGTACTGGATATGGTGCAATCAGACACATCTGTTTTAACATTAACTAAGCTTATGACATCACTTAACTTTTATAAATGAGATGTTTCTGTGTTAAATTTAAAAAAAAAAAAAAATCCCACCATTGGCTGGAATAAAAGACAGTACAGAGACACTAATCATGGTAGCACAAGAACAATAAGGGTTAAGGCCCTGAAGAAATCCAGCGCATAACAGCAGTGTGCAAGATGCTAACAGGCAGGGCATACAGGCAACACCATAACAATGTGCCTAGCATAGTATACAGGAACGCAGGTATGGCTTTGAGGTCGCAATGGGACACGACTCCAAAGATGACCGTGCTAAAATCCTGTGGGATACAGATGGTTAACCAGTGGTGGACAAGCAGAGGAAAAAGGCCATAGTGATGGATGTAGCTATACCAGATGATGGCAACATCAGTAAGGAGGAAACACAAAGCTGGAGAAAAACCAAGGGCTGAGAGAGCAGCTAGACAAGATGGAGAGTAAAGTCAACTTTGGTCCCCATGGTAACACTCGGAGCAGTGACGACCCCCCCCAATCTGGGAGAGTGGCTCCAGCAAATTCCAGCAACGACATCTGAGATCTCTGCTCAGAAGAGCGCAGTCCTAGGAACAGCTAAGATACTGCACAGGACCCTCAAGCTCCCAGGCCTCTGGTAGAGGACCTGAGCTGGAAGAACAAATAAAGACTGCCCACAGGGTGAGAGGGGGATTATATATAATAGTATTTTACAAAAACATGAGCCTTTGCAGATGATGTGCAGAGTATTTTCTGCAACAAATGCTATCTGTTGCAGTTTATACATTTTTTAACAGTAACTCTTTTCAGGATATTACATTTGTTTCATTTCTTAATGTAACATTAACTGAAATGCCAACATTTTCCAGACTCTAATGTTGGTGTATTTTTCGCTGCTGCTGCTGTTCCACCCACATGTTGTCTTCAGCAAACAATACTGTCATGTTTTCAGAGTTTAGCCATTGACACGTGATTGGCAGACTGGGTTTTAATCAATCGAGCAAAGCAATTTTTGCTGTTTCCTCAGCACATTGCAGATGAATAAAATAATGTTCGTGGCAGTTGAAAAATTTCACTTTCAAATGAAGGCTGCTTTTCGCTGCTTCCTCTTTCAGCATCACTTGGGATCTTTCACTGTATATGGTGTGAAAGCTGCTGCAGTAATTCCCCTGTAAATGTCAAACCTATTAATTAAGATCTTTGTCTTACCTCACTGACTGTACAAAATAATTCTATTTCTCTCTGAAACTGACAAATGCATGCATTTCCCTCATATAAATGTGACACTATATAAGTTCTAGTATATTGAAAATCCACTTATAGAATTATATTTATTCAAAGTGTATGCCGTGCCTGCACTGTTTACCAGTGATTTAATATGTTTATATACTGCCTAGTATTATGTGCCAACCAGCAAATCCAGAGTCATAAAAGCATGGGCCTCCTCATTTGAGAAAGCACTGCTAACAAATGTGAAATTACAGTCTGAGGGATAAATTGAAGAATCTGTGAGTTTTGATGTTATTTATTTATTTATTTATTTATTTATTTATTTTTCACATTTATCAGTCACTGTTTTTTTTTTTGTTTTTTTTGTCTCTGGGATATATTGATGACAAAAGTGTCTCATAAAATGGATTCGTTTGTTTTGTCTTTTCCTTTGCAGAGGAGCTCGAGGAGGAGAAGGAGAACCCAACAGAGACAGAGCTAACAGAAAAACAGAAACACCAGCTCCGCCACAGAGAGCTCTTCCTCTCCCGGCAGTATGAGAGTCTACCTGCGACACACATCAGGTACAGTGCACAGAGGCATACAAATACATACAGAAAATGGACTGTACAGCTCGCCAACTAAAGGCAGTGCCCATGGATAGTCACTCATTCAGCCATGAATCCATCCATCACACAGTGCGCACTTCCTTTGTTTGTGTTTTTATATGGTGTGTGCTTCCTCCCCTCTCTCTCTCCATTAGGGGGAAGTGCAGTGTCGCATTATTGAATGAGACTGAAGCCGTTCTTTCATACCTTGACAAAGAGGTAAGCCTGAGAGGGGGGAACAAATTGATGTCTCTTTCTGGTTTTTGTTACCTCAAGCTGCATCATAGAAAGTCCAGTCATAATTTACATGCTTTTTCTTCCCTTTTCTTCTTTTTGTTGTTGTTGTTAAATTCTGTTGCTTCAGGAAGTATTCAGGCTTTTCAGATATGTCCCTGCCAGTTATTAAACTCCTAAAAAAAGACTCTCACATTAGAAATCTGTTTCAATACAAATAATCAATTTGTGTCTTAAAGGGTTTAGATGCAGCTGCGTACACCGTTGCTTCATTTACCATGAGCAAATCTATGAAGATCCAAATTAGTGCCTGCACCTTGGCCCACTCTTCTTCATTTGTAACATCATGTGCACAACTCCCCAAAAGTTGATTCTGTTCATCCAGATGAACAGAATCATCCAGATGAACAGAATCAACTTTTGGGGATTTACTTACCTGGATGATTGAGTATGCATCAAGACATCATGCGCACAAGTTCCTCTGGTACATGGAGGCAGACGCAGCGCTGGTTCACATTGCTATAAAATGGGTTTGTTAACCAATAGAGAAAAACGTGATTCATTTCGTTCATCAGGAAAATACAGGGTGCTGTTGGGGTAGACATAAAGTGGAATACATAAAGAATCCACAGTGTCTGTAGCTCACTGGATAAGGCCTAGGAGCTAGCTGTTACATGACAGAAATACCATTGCAAAAAATTAGGCTTGATTAGCACAGGAAGCGGGAATTTTTTATTGTCTTAGAGTAAGGCCTGACTGGTGGGGAGTGAACGGCCAGGTGAACTAGTGACTTGTGATGCATTTATATTGGTAATGATGAATAAAAATTGGGGAATGCACAAAAAAAGTTTGCCATTTGTGGGAAGAATCTTGACAATATTATCAAAAAGCTGAGGTAATGCAAGCCTGGACCTGTCGGCAACTTGTTGCTAGGAAGTTTGTATTCTCCCACTTTCTGGCTGAGTGATTGCTGGAGGTTGCCGGCAGTTGGTAGGTGAAATTAGTAACACAGCTATACGATGCTGCACCAAAAAAACCGTCACACTGTTTGCAACAATTTCACCTAGCAACAACCAGTTGAGGAAATAAATATTTTCCCCCTGCAACCACAGGGTGCCTGGGGGTGGTGGACGTCGCTAGGTCCGTGTGGCTGATGCTGCGTTCCTTTTACTTTCTTTTTTTAACAGTTTTTTATTGTTTACTTAAACGGTCAAAACATGTATGGCTTAAAAATGACCTAAACAAATAATCAGTAAACAGTTGAGTAATATTTTCTTCTCAGTTGACTGATTATATTATATTTTTACTAAAACTCTTTATTATATTTTGGCATGTTGTCTGTCACATAAGTATAATTATATCTGTTATAACACCTGGAGATCACAGGAATCCCAGCCCTGCCAAAATCTGGGAAGCTCCACATTAATCGATGTGATGTTTTCCTTAGGATACCTTCTTCTATTCGCTGGTTTATGACCCAACACAGAAAACCCTGTTGGCTGACAAAGGAGAGATCAGAGTGGGACCGCGTTTTCAGGCAGATGTACCTGAAATGCTACAAGAAGGTGAATTGCAGATTTCACCTTTATTTCTTTCCTAACCCTTTTTCTAAAGCATAAACAAAATGTAATTAGCTTATAATTAAAACCATCACTAATAAGCAAATAAGCGTGGAAGGCAAATCCATTGTTATCCTACTGTGTGTGAGAGCTGTTGTCTCTGGGCTTTGCAGGTGAAGCAGATGAGAGAGATCAGGCCAAACTAGAAGAGAAACTGTGGGATCCAGAGTGCCCACTCACCAACAAACAGATAGACCAATTCTTAGTGGTGGCACGGTAGGTCGCCCTCACATCTACAGCAACAACTTCTCGATCGCATGCACTGGATAGGCAGTTTCACAGATGTAACAATTCTGAGTTTTAGCACTTTAATAGCCCGTGGTGCTATGAAGGATTGGCTGAAATATTTAGTGTGTGAGATAATATAAATGCACACTGTTATGAGCCATGGCTCATAAGTTTGGCTCATTATTTTCATTTTTATTCATTCAATATGTGAATTTGTCATGGGTTTTTATTTATAAGGGAGGATGAAAATGAATTAAAAATGAATCACGCAGAGATTTAAATCGCTTTTTGGTTAACAAACGACTGTTTACTGTTTCTGATGAACGACTCATCTGTGTTTGCCATTTATTTTTGCTCCATACCACCCAGTGCATATTTTGAGCTGTGAGGCTGTTAGTGTTTTCTTTGCAGACATGCCCTGCACATTAATATGTCAGACCATGCAGTAAGCTGTGCATATATGTATCATGTATTGACTGACTGTGGGTAATTTTCAGGGCGGTCGGGACCTTTGCCCGAGCGCTGGACTGCAGCAGCTCTGTTAGACAGCCAAGCTTACACATGAGTGCAGCTGCAGCCTCACGAGATATCACACTGGTCAGTGGGACACACACAGTCGAACCCTGCAGCACCTCGCTGGGATTTAATTGATGGTTTTGTAAGGTTTTTTTTCTGCGTGCATTGATTACAGTTCCATGCGATGGACACATTGCACCGCCATAATTACGATTTGTCCAGTGCGCTGAGCGTACTGGTCCCAGCGGGGGGCCCGGTGCTTTGCAGGGATGAGATGGAGGAGTGGAGCGCCTCGGAAGCTGCCATGTTTGAAGAGGCATTAGAGAAATATGGAAAAGACTTCAATGACATCCGACAAGACTTTGTAAGTGTTTTGTTATCATTCTGCCTGGTAATCCTGTTAACGTAGAAGTTATTCAAAAGAATATTACATTATTTATGGTGCTTTTAAGATATTTTGTTTTTATGTAGCATTTGATTGGTTGTTACCCGTTACTGTGAGAGACTGCTCACTGTGCAGTTAAAGTCTTCATGTGGTGAAATGTATTCACAGCATGCCGATGGACAGTTGAGAGGTTCGACTTTGAGGCTTTGAGAAGTTTCCAAAGAGTCGTCCTCCCTCATCAGTGAAAATCTGTCACAATGGAAATCCATTGTAATCTGCATAAATTGAAGCTGCTGTTCTGTGAAGCACAAAATTACCAATTTTAGCACTCGCCTTTCAAGCCTGTGGGGGTGAGGGATGACTGTTTGGTTCTTTTGAACTCTCCTTCCCACCATCTACCTCTACTGTACAATAAAGCCAGGGTATGGGTGTATGCGGTGGCACCAGGTGCTCATGAATACTTATTAAATGTGTGAATTTCTCTGTGTTTCCGTCTGAGGCCCAGAACCAAGCAAAGCCAGTAACTCTGAGCCTCTGTGGTCACGATGCCTCTTGCTCATGAATATACATGAAGGCTTCGCACCCAGATGGCAAGAACATGAGATATTAATATCATTAATTTGCTCTGTGTCTGTCTCTTTCTCTCCCCGTGCTCGATCGTTTCTTCTTGTGAAGCTGCCGTGGAAGTCTCTGACCAGTATCATAGAGTATTACTACATGTGGAAGACTACAGACAGATATGTGCAACAGGTGAGAAAACCATGTAGCTGCTATGCTACATGCATCTTTTTTTGTAATTAGTGTGTGTTTTTCTTACATTTACACAAGATTAAACGAAACGATGCCATCCCTAACAACTGCATCACGCTTCTAGTGGGCAAAAACTCCTCCTGCATAAATAAATAAAGCAACTTTGTCCTAGCTTTGTTTATTTTTGTTTTTTTATTGACTACTACATGGGACTTTAATCTGAAAAGGATACTCCAGTTTTTATGTTTATTTGAAGCTGCAAGAATTTTAAAAAAAGAAAAAGAAAAGGAAAAGCGTATCAGGCAGTCAACATCTTCAAAAAATACTTCTCAAAGGAGCTGAATAGCTTAAGCTCAAGATTTTGTTTCCTTTTAAAAATGTGCAAAAACTCATTGATTCATTAGAAAGGCACAACAAAACCAAAGCAGTTCACAACAACTATTCCAACTGTCTTTCTGTAAAATCAAAAGGTTTCATGCAGTTCAAAATTAGTCCCCACAACATTTTAAAATAAAAGGGTACAAAAAATGCTTTTGCCCTCTTAAAAAGTGACGTTTTCATGCTTGTTCAGTTTTTAAAATTATAACCGTGTCCCTAGGGATACAAAATAAGTAGAAGTGGCTAGAATCAGGCTTTCTATTGAAATAAAGTTCTCACCCACAGCTCTGACCACTTTTGAAATGTCTTTTTTTATTCTTTTTACTTTATTTTATTTTTTCTGAGCTGCCACACATAGTAAAATGGTCCTCGTTATGTTTTTATTATACCGATATAAATGTATTTGCAGTGATTAATTCTGAAGTGGCGGTCTGTACGAGTGCAGCTTAAAAACTGTAGGATACTTTTACGTCTAATTCAGTTGCACCATTCCTTGGACCTCCATTGCTTAATAAATTTGAAAAATGCCTGCTGCACGGCCTACTAAACTTTTTCTTTTTCTAGAGCTATCGAAAACTTTATATTGCTATTCACAGACTAAGTGTTACGTCTTATGATAAAACTGCCCTCTGTGTAGAAACAGGGTAGTTCCCCTTAAGATAGGCGTGGTGGTGCAGAACATGTTTACAACCAAAGAAGCAAAAAATCTGGTTAAAAACGTCCTTCTGTTTGAGAAGAGCAACCAAATGTATAGCATGCACAAAAGGATAGCCTTTGCTCTCCAAGGATTTCATGTGCTCAGATATAAATTGTGTTTATGTGCCCCTAAAAAGCATAGAGGGAGAAAACAACTCCTTTGAATTACATCGACAGATTTAATTATTACCACTGTAATTCCACACTCCAACTTTCAGGATGCAGGGCTGAGTTTTATTTGAAGCAATGCTTGTTAAAGACAACAGTTGTTTTTATTTTGGGATTAATGAAGAAATCAATTTTTTTTCTCTTTGAACAGAAGAGACTGAAGGCAGCAGAGGCAGAAAGCAAGCTGAAGCAGGTTTATATCCCCACATAGTAAGTTTCTTTATTTCATATTTCAGTGTTTGCAGATGACATTGGATGTCTTTTGTCTGTTACTCTGCTTGTGGTGGACAGATGATGATTTTATGCAGTATAGCTGCTGTCATTCTGCTTCCTAAATCACTTTGTCTGTCCTCTGACAGTAACAAACCCAACCCCAACCAGATCTCGATGACCAATGGCAAGATGGCGACGGTGAACGGAGCGGGCCCTGGGGCCTACCACGCAGCAGGGGGGGGCAGAGCCTGCGAAAGCTGCTACAGTGAGTTAGTGTGTGCGTGTGAGAGTGAGTGAGTGTGTGATTAGCCATGGCAAGTGTGAAATTAAGTGGTGAGGGCAGTGAACATAAGTCAATTAGAAATCTAATGGAAACAAATGAAGCCTTAGACAGCTGTCGCTTCTCTTACTTAAAGAAGAAATGCTTTCCTTTTATTTTCAGTCTTTGCTTATTATTAACAGCTTCACAGACTGAAAGGGGAAATCGTTGTCCCACAGTATGCAACCCAGAGTGTTAACAGAGTGCCTCTAGCTGCCTAAAAATATTAGATTTCACTTTGTGAGAGGATTAGCAAGCAGGGTGGTTAGCTACAGCCCAAGTCACACATGCCTAGAACAAAACCAAGATAATTTTAACTACTTTGCTTTCTTTCTTATCTCTTCTATTATTACTTTTACTTTCACCCTTACGAGGAGAGCCATTTTTAAGCATGGGTGCAATGATTTTGATAAATAACCTGGAACAAAGGCCCAGAGAGCGTTTGATGACCCTCTGCAACCACCGATCACAAAGAAGGGGGAAAAAAAGTATTTCCCAAACAGATTGAAGGTGTACAGACTCTGCTTCTGGTTGTGTAGTGCCATGCAGTTTTGCTGCTGCTCAGGGAAGGGCTGGCATATATTTGTAGGTAAATCTGAATCTTGCGTGCAAACTGCAGGCAACTGTGGCAGTCTGCTAGCAACCAAAACAAACCCATTGCCCCAAGGCTTTTGGTGCAGCAGTGTTTAACTCTTTGTGACCAGTTTCACCTTAAATCAACCTGTTGGAGGATACACATTTTTTGCCCCTTGTCAACAAAAATCTAAGTAGCATAAAATGCCTTCAACATAACTGTTTCTGAATTTTAACAATCCACTATAACACAAGTTGCAAGATTCTCTGGATATTTGACTTTTCAGTAATAATAATTCTGCTGGACATAAAAATCTGTCTGCGGCAGACTTCTGCTGATGTCACGTTTTATTATGATGATATTCATTTTTGTGTCCCTTGGTGGGACTCAATTGCACTGAGAACTGGGAGAATTGTAAAACTTATAACCTGAGTTCTGCTTATTAGTTCTTGAACACATCCTAACATTCCCCTTAAAATCTACTGTAAAATGTAGAATATTTAAAAAAGCTGACAACTAAAATTATTTGATGGAAATGATAAATCTAAATGCTTAATATCTGCTCACTTTGCAGTACAACGGCCTCGTGCACTGTTTCATGTTTGTAAGCACTTAAAGTCAGTAGCAAGCATATAGTGACGTCTTGTGTAGTATGAATATTGATAAAATCACACAGGGAAAGATGGAGATCAATATTCTTAGTGTCTTGAGACCAGTCTTTTCTGCCATCTCTCTAACAAGTGTTAATGGATTCCATACATTAACAGCCATGCAGTCAGCCCAGTGGTATTCATGGGGGCCTCCAAACATGCAGTGTCGTCTGTGCGTCTCCTGCTGGATGTACTGGAAGAAGTATGGTGGTCTGAAGATGCCAAGCAGAGCTGAGGGTCCAGAGGAGAGGACCTCACCCACTCCAGCAAGCAATGTAAGCTCAGTGGAGGGTACAGAGAAGGGTTTCTGCAGGTCCTTAAAACATGTTCATATTAGAGTTAGACAAAAACAAAGCCTTTGAAACAAACTTGTAAAAATCTGTACCTCCTGTGTGATGCAGCGTTCCTGACACTTTAAATTTGGTGACACATTTTAAGCTGTTCTTTTGGCCACAATTTGCCTTTATTTTAAGTTCAGACACTAGAAACCAGCTAGCTCCTGGCCCTTTCACATCACTGATGAGGCAATCCCAAAAAGATCATCTTAAGCTGTGGTAAAAATGTTCTTCAACTGGAATACAGCTGGTGATGGAAGTGTGGGTTATTTTGGTGATCCTCTGCTAGCTGAAGGTTATCATAACCAGAAGCTTGGAACAGATGGAGAACTGGTTCATGTGCCTCTGTATCAGAGGTGGGCAATCGGTTTTCTCAAGGAGAAACTGAGAACACAAGAATCTTGATCTGTTGTGGAGGGCTGTAGCGATGAGCTGATCTCCATTCTGCTCAGTATTCATTTTTATCTCTTTATAAGCTATTGGTGCAGCCCTTCATAGCAATCCCAGTTTCTCGTGGCCTCTTGGGAAGATCAATTACCCAGCCGTGCTCTATGCTAAGCCCCTCGTTGGTGCAGAGCAGAACAAGGGTTACCATTACTAGCTGCAGTCTAAGACGAAGGAGTTGGAGTTTAGCTGCATGATGACTCACCGGAGAGGTTGCTGATTGTGCTGCGGTAAAAATATTTTTAAGGGACCATCAGGCACTCAGTAGTTTAACCCGTTTACCATCTTGATGTAAATTTTATGGATGCAGTGACAAAATATCAAAATATCCAGACGTAAAAATAATAGTAGTCCAAGAAAGTGGCTGATGGAAACCATAATAGAAGCCTTTACTAATATCAGTCTTCATCTGAAAACAGTGGCTTTGCTTCTGTTTCACAAAACAAGCTCGATTGCCAGTTATCTAATGCAGCGGCCCTACAATAAATCCTTCCCTCAGGAAGGTTGTAATGCTTGATTTTTATCTAAACTGTTTTCAGAAGGGTGCTGATTCAACTTTATGGCCGTTTTAGAGGCTGTAATTATCCGCTGGGATAAACGGGGCGGGCAAATGATTAGATTCTCCTCACTGTATTACACAATACAGTTCAACAGCACCACGAATAGTAGCCTCCACAGTGACGACAGAGTGAATTAGACTCCCCTCTACAACAGTTTGAACCACAAAACAGTTTTGTGTTAAACATGCATCTTTTTAATAATAAATAACAGTAAAATCTAATTTGTTTTTCAGATTTTTGTTAAAGCCTTCAAACCAGCCAATGTGAATCTTTTGATAATGGTTTTTCAAAATAAAATCCAATAATACAGAAGCTAGTGTAGTGGCTATCAAACCTTTTCTGGCATGACCGACCCCCCCCCCCCTCCAAGAAAGCCACCATTCTACATTTTAAACTAATAGCCTTTGTTAATAAAACCAAATCCAAGTTAAATTTTGGTGACATAAAGGTCAGCATGTTATATATATACTCAACCTTTTTAATCCCTTTTTATTGGAAATTTTAACATGATACACTTTTGGGGGTTTTTTGAACAAAATTGTCTATTTTTGAGTTTTTATGCTCAGTGCAGCTCTTTGATGTGCACATATGCACTAAGGCTGCATTTAAATGAAGATGAGTTTTTCCCCCTGCAAAAATATAACCATTCAACTGAAGTTCCCATTCCCAGCCCAAGAGTTTAAAAACCATTGGATTTGTTGAACCATCTCTGACTTTTACATTTTCTGTCAAACTGATTAAATTTTCTTTTGTGTTTTGTTTGTTTGTTTTTTCCTTCCTTTCTGTCCCTCCCTCGATCTCAGGAGTCTCGCTCAAGGGGTCACGCTCCCCGCCAGTCCAACCACATGGTGCCGATGCGAAACAGCAACAGCCCCAAATCCTCCATGAAGACCAAGCAGGCTTTCCTGCTGCAGGCCACCCGCCTCACCAAGCTGGCCCGGCACATGTGCCGTGACATCATCAGGCTGCGCCGCGCTGCGCGCCGGCCCTTTGTCCCCATTAACTGTGGGGCCATAAAGGCAGAGTGTAAGAGCTCTTTCAATTCCTCCTAACTTCTGCCACATGGATACACATACACATCTCCAGACAGAACACAACATACAGAGACACACACCAACACACACCTCCCCTCACCCCGACTGCCCCACCATCAACCCCCGACATCTCTGCTCGCCTCTGCCCCACCCACCCCCTCCGTCTGTCTCTTTCTGTTTTATTATAATTATTGTTATTTTGTTTTTGTATTCTCCCCCCCGTTTCCAATAAAGACTGCCTGTCCTCATAACTATGAGTTTTGATCATCTTTTCATTCGTGTTTTTTTTCTTTATTATTTTTTTTATTCTTTTGCCTGTTGTTATGTTTCTGAGTCACTTTGAACCAAAAGCCATTATTCGAGTGGTTAAACAGGGATACACACACCCACACACATGCGCGCGCACGCACACACACACACACACACACACACACACTGTGACTGAAGTCGCTCCTGTCATAATGAATAGATTGTAACAGCATCCAGTAGAAGTCTAGTCTGAGCCGTATATATTTGCTGAAGTTGCTGGTAGAGGAAATGTATTTTATTAAGAAAAGCTCTATTTTGCACGGCGCTCCTGGTAAAGGTGCGTCCAGTCTGTGCTGTTATGACTGAGTGAGTTGTCTCAGCCACATATGTTCATTGTAAATACTGAACCTCAGCTTCACTGTCTTTGCCATCACCATTTTTAAATATTTTTTTAATTTAAACTTCTTTTTTTTTTTTTTTTGCACATGCATTTTTCCCTCCTATTGATCATGTGTGTATCTGTGTACAAGACAAAGTGAACTGTTTGGATTGATTGTGAGCTTCAGACAGATTTGGAACCCTGAAGGAAGGAAGGTGAAGAGAAGACTTGGGTATAGCTGCTGGCTGCATCGCCCCTAGTAGACCAGGCCCAATCATAAGGAGTCCAGATCCCATTTGGGGATGGACCTTTTGCCATATTATTCACTCAGCTAATTTCCTGTGTTTCAAATCATGCAATATTCATATGAATCCACCCTGTCTCGTATATCCTGTGGACAGGATTTGCCACTCAGACTCATTCCTCGCCTTCGATTTCCCCTCCCTCATCTTTCATTCTCTAACGACTGTTGCAATATTCTCATCTCATCTTCTACCTCTACTTTTTTTTTTTTTGCTCTTTTCTTTCATTGCTGTGTGAATGTGGAGTAGACCTGCAATAAAGTCACACCTGAAAGCATCTTTTCCGAGTCCTTGTGCTTCATGTGTCTGTGTTCTCTGTCCATCAACTCCACCACACTCAGAGGAAGCACAGCGGCACCCCTGCCTCCCCCGCTCCTCAGCATGGACTCAACCTCCAGTGCCTGCTGTCATGCCGTCTTCATAATTGAATGTATGTGTCTACGATATGTTTTCATGCATGTAAGCATGTGCTGACATCTGTATGCGCATGTGAGAGGGGGGGAGATTTCTCCTCCCTTAGAGCAAGTCGCTGCAAAATACCTCAGTCATTTGCTCCTTTGCATCAAATCCTGCATCTTGTGGTCTTTATCCATAATCATGTACCTGAGAAGAGGCCATTTTCATCTGCATGAGATGTTCATGTTGATAAACGGATAAATAGGGGTTTTTTTGTTTTGTTTGTTTTTTATTTAAATACGGGGAGAAGAGGGGATTGACAAAAATTTCTGTGTATGTGTGTTTGGTTTAGACATGTTAAGGGTGTCGGAAGGGCAGGGGACTCGCCTACCTAAAACCAGAGCCGCCCAAAGGAGCACTCTGACTAGTGTCCTGCAGTTTCTAGGTAAATGAACACACAGTCAGTGTTTGAGCAGTAGTCTAACCCATTAAGCCAATAAAACATGAGCAGAAATAACTCAGATGGTCTATAGGAGCCACTTCATGCACCTCCGGTGTGTCTTTTCCAGAGTCCCGTCCAGCAACCCACGCCCCTCGCTCCCACCGCACCCCGGGCCTTCAGACGCCTCCCCCTAGACGCCTACTCTCCTCTCTACCACATGGGCCTCACGGCATGCTGGGAAAACGCAGCTATCATCACCACAGCAGGGCTGACCCAGACAGGCGCACAGGTACATCACAGACTCTTATTAATCAGTAAAAAGAAAAAGAGATCTGATTTAATCCAACAAAGGTAATTATTTTCAGATTTGCTTAATTTAATCCTGCTCAAAAGCAGAAAGTCCATTCTGTTTAAAGCCCCCCACATTCAAAAGAAAAAAAATGCATCCCTTCTTTCTTTTTTTTAAGTTACTCGTAATGTGAATTAAGTCTGGGGAATAAATAGTGTTGATATCCAATGTTTTGTTATCCTTATGCTTAATAAAAAATCCAATTAGTAGGAATACATCTGGAGTTGATAACCTTTTCTGCCATTTCTTATCTAAACTAGCTCGTTGGAGAGAATGACAACTAATTCTAATGAAAACGAATCAGCAGATGGGGGTCATTTGGATAATTTGGATGGTTCAACTTCAGTTTGACACTTTGTTTTTTATTGGTAACTTCACTTTTTTTTACTGAAATTGAAACACAGTTATTTGTTGCACAACTTGTAACTAGGACAAGAAATAAAACCAATCAATACTACTCGCAACTGGCAGATTCCCTCATGTGTACTTTGCCTCTTTCTCTCACTGCTGTGGGTTTGTTTTTGCAGAGAACCCAGGTACAACAGGTGGACCTCTCATGGTAGGCTTATTTTCTATTTGCTTTACACTTCCTCTACAGCTGCATCGACTGCTCTCTAACGTTCGGATGTATGTCTTGCAGCATAACGGCCGCAGCAGCAGCAGTGGAAATACCAGAGGAGGAGTGATGATTCGCAAGAGGCGCCCTAATTGGATTGATGCTCCCGATGACAGCTTCTTCCTTGTCACACGGGAGACCAGGTAAGCAAAGGTGACCCTTTCTTGAATTCTGATAGGCTTGTTGTGTGTGTGTGTGTCTCTGAAGGAAGATGCTGACAGCTGAGCGAAAGCAGACGACAGGAAATAGGCTGGCACAGAAATGGACAGCGAGTTATTTTTGTCTCATGGTGACCTTGAGACAGATGCACAATGCACATCAGCTCAAAAGGATACAACACAATGCCCTAAGAGTGCAAACACATCAGCACATCATTCAACACTGTTTTGACCAACTGGATGGAAAATTTGGAAACTGATTAACACACTCATGTCATATTGTACTATTTTTTTGGGGGGGTTTAAGGGGTTTTGACAACTTTAAAGGATTTTAAATCAGTAAGAAGCTTGGGCAGCACAGTGGTGTGATAGTTAGCACTGTTGCCTCACAGCGAGAAGGTCCTGGATTTGAAGGTCCTTTCTGTGCAGATGTTCTCCCTGTGTCTGCGTGGTTTCTCTTTGGGTACTATGGCTTCCTCCCACAGTCCAAAGTCCCCGCT